TATATATATATATATATATATATATATATATATATAAGGACCATTGTAATTTATGGATACTTATTGCATGATGCTCGAGACACTTATTGGCTTTACAGGTTGGTAATTTTAGAGATTGAAGCATTCTAGAGAATGACAAATTAGAACAAAGGTCTCAGGGAATCACCATAGTGTGTTGCAGTCAAAGTCAAAGCCTAACTGATTGTTAAAAACCAGTTTAATTGCCTTAATAAATACTGTCTGATGTAAGATTTTGATACAGCCATACCTCCAATGTAATGGTTTATTCTTCCTATTTCGAAAGTATTAGTCACGAAGGTTTATAGAGTGCATTGTACCTACTGATGCTACCTTTGTACAAGTTACAAGCCAAGGGAATAATAACAAGATTCTTTTATCCTTTAGAATTACCTAACATCTCAATAGCAAAATGCAATCAAAATAAATCCAGCAGAAAATCTAATATACTAGCATACATATAATATGAATTGATGCTTTATTATTATGCACAGTGAGAAAAAGGTGACTGCCATTTCTCCATTTCTGTTTACTGTCTACATCTCTGACTTCAAGTACAACTCAATGACATCATCTGCAGATGTTCTCAGATGACTCTGCTCTTGTGGGGTGCATTAGTGAGGGGAGGAAAGACAGTAAACTCATGATTAACTCAACAAAATGAAACATCTAAAAGCTAAGCATCAGTGAGACCAAGGAGATGGAGGTGACGGTGTTATTCTCCCCTGTCCCCTGCCATCATCCTGAGCGAGCATGTCAAGTAGGTGTACCTCGGGGTACACCTGAGATGTGCTGCAAACATGAATACCCTGTACATCAGTGTTTCCCAATACGATCTTCGGGGACCCACATGCTGTCCAAATTTTGGCTCCCTCCAAGCTCCCTGCCAGACAGTCCACATTTTTGCTCCCTCCAAGCTCCCTGCCAGACAGTCCCCATTTTTGCTCCCTCCTAGGTCCCAGCAGGGACACCCAGAACTGTCTGTGGGTCCCTGATGACTGGATTAGCAAACACTGTTGTACAGGATGGGACAATGTTAAGGAGGTTGGATCCAATGATGTGCGTGGTTCTCTGCTATGTCGTGTCATTGGTGGCAATAGCCATTCATTACGCTGTAGTGTGTCGGGGCAGAAGACACCAGAAGACTGAACAAGCTACTCCAGATGGCGCTGCGCTGGAGATCAGACTTACCTCCCTGGAGGAGGTGCTAGATGGGGGGATTCTGACCAAGCACTCAGCCATCATGTGCACCTCCTGTCCACTCCATGAGACTTTTATGGCAGATAAATGCTTACAGTGATTGACTTTTTCAAATTACGAACAATTTGAGGGAGCTAACTAATTATTCCTTAATTTCTTCTGCCTTGCTAGTTAACTACCCCCCCCCCCCTCCCCATGACCCTGATTGGGTTAGACATGTTGACAGTGGGTGGTTGACAAAGGGATTTCAGACAAATTCATGATGGCAAGTCACTTTAAAATGTTAAAAAGCGACAATCATGATGCACCCATATGATTGCAGCTTAAAGGGTAATTTCTCAGTCACTCAAAACACATTCACGTCCACAACGAAAGTTCAAATCAGGTCACCCACAGATCAACTGTCCATAACGGCACTGGGAAATATAAGAACAAGAAAACTGCAGCAGGTGAGGAACACGGTAAACATTGACACAAAAGTCCTGCTCATGAAGTTCATGAAACTCGAGATAAGATACCAGCTGCCCGAATCAGTGAGACCAAGAAACAAGACGTTGGCATGCAGACCTGCCAAACTGCTCAGGGAACGCTGGCAACCGTGACCAAGTACCGACAGCTCATTCTCACAGACCCAGAGTCTCAAAACTAAAAGAGGTCTGAGAATTACACTGAAAGGGCATTGGTGGGTCTAAACCAGAAGTTATTACTTTCTGTTCAGAACAAGATCATGTTAACATGCCCGATTTCACAATTACTGAAACAGAATCTGTCTCCTGTCCGGCCATTCAAACGCTACTCCTTTCAGTCTGATAAAAGTCTCCATCTCATGCAAATTCTGCAAATATATTTACAACTCGCTTTAATGATGGATCAAGCATTATTAACCCAGATAGCACACATATGTTGAAATGACATTGATTCCATATCAGAAAAAAAGGTTGAAACAATGTTGATCTTCAATCTTTCACTTTATATCAACATTGAATCAAGGTTTTGCCACCATCAATTTTTCAATATTGAAAATCTGACCAAAAATCAATTCAGTTTCAACGTTGATAATTTAACACTGACCATAATTCAACGCATTTAACTATAATTCAACGTAGAAACAATAACATGGTGCTATCTGGGAAATTACATTATATTTGCTGGAATTATCGGTAAGACTTAAAGCCACGTTTTTGGCAATTTAAAAACACATTAATAACACATTATAATACATTCATAGAGCATTATAAACGTGGATATAAATACTTTATAATGCTGTACAAAGCATTTTTAATGCTTATACTGACCATTATAATGCATTATTAAGGTATCTGTAGTGCATTATAGATGAGAGCTTCATAAGACATTCACAATGCATAATACACATGGCTTTAATGTTTTATGCCTTTTGATGAATTTTTATAGCCATGATTATAATGCTTTATGAATGCATTATTATTTGTCATGAATGCTTTCATAAATTACTAAAAACGTGGCCTTAAGAAAAGTGTTACTGAATTACCTAATATAAGCTGATTATACCACTGGCATTGTGACGTCAAATAACTATGATGTGCATGATATGTGTGGAGTTAGTTTTGCCGTTTTGTTTGTTAGTTTATCTGGCTGTTTTATTCACCAAAGCTTGCTACAGTTTTCACCCACTCCTATGGGGTTTTAGACTGACCTCAATTCATGGCATGCACTTTGCCCCTGTGAAATGCAGCAGGTATTGTGGTAACCAGACCTATAATCCCTTCCATCAAGCAAGCATCAACCCTCCCAGGCGGTGGAAAAAGCAATATAAAACAGTGTGTCATAATCTAACATGCTTCCAAAAA